AAGCCTCTGATGATCGCGCGGCTCAGCTGGGCATGGGGGTGGGTGGGCAGGGATTTTTGCTACCGGTTCTCCGAACCACCCACCGCCATCTCTACCGGATTGGGCGATCCGGTCTGAACCGGGGAGCATTTCACTCCTGCTTCAGCCGAATCCAAAGGAGTTGCAATTGAACGCAAACAACTCCTGTATATAGCGTCATGCAGAACGGTCAGAGGTATCCAAGTTCACCACAATGAACCGAATAAACCTCAGCCGCCTGGGTTTGCACAGCACACCCAGCACCATACAGGGTGATTTGTGTAAACTTCAAGAGTTCTGTAGGTCTTTGGTTATTTGGGTTTTCTCCCGCGTAAAATTGGAAGTGTCTTGGCAACGTTTCGATGAAGTCTCATTCGTCATCTTCAGGCTGGTATTCTCGGCTTCGTGCTTCTAGGAGCAATGTAGTTCTATTTCTACATCTCAGCCAAAAAGCAAGCTGCAATTCATTTTATCTTTGCCTTAAATTAAACAGGATGGAATGAAGAGCTGACATTCAAGTCCAGTGTGGGTTTATTTGTGGCTTCAGATTGTGCACGGAAGCCCAGCGTTGTGATTTGTAAATGATGGTTTTTCGCTGGGAGCGTAGAACCAATTTGTTCTAGCCGATTCCAGAAGCGCAATCCCATAGAGCGATCCTGCATGAATAAAATACGGAGATTCAATTAAGGTGCATATTTTTTTTTTCCTTCCCGACTCTTGAAATGTTCAAGGACGTGACATACTAGCGTATTTTCTCCTCGGAAAATTAGAGTTGAGCCTAGAATCACTGGACTGTATGGCTTTCATTTTTTTCCCCCCTTCTTCTCGATCAAGGGATAAAAACCTACCGAAATATCACAATCCTTTATTTTCCGAGGCTGTTCTTCCCCAGTCTTTCACAACTGCGGAAGCCACCCACTTGGAAATTAAAAAAAAAAAAAATGGGTGGGGGGAAATGAGGAAATGATAAAAGACCCCCCCCCCAGCACAAGCAATCATCATAAGGCTTCATTGTTTTATGAAGTGTCTCCTCTCCTTGGCAGATATCAGAATGCTTGAGATTAAGTGGCACAGTTAGCAAATTAAATAATGTTTTACAAAGTACCGGATGACTCTAGAGATTAGTAATGGGGCAACGAACTCTTCTGCATCTAGGTCACCATTTTAGAACCCAACAGCTCCTGTTGGTAGCGATTTATAATAAGGTGAGGGGGGGGGTGTCTTAATTGCTAGCAGGTGTGCTGTGTGAATTAAATTATCTACATTTTCTAACCCCATCCGCCCACCCAGTTTTCTTTTAAAAAGAAAAAAAATGCTATAAATGGCTGGAAATCAGGACCTAAGACATTGAGAAAGGAGTAATAACTCTTGGTTTCTCCCCCATGACCAACATTTGAAAGGATTTAGGCCAGTGGTAAAATCTAAAATTTGTTACTACCGGTTCTGTGGGCGTGGCTTGGTGGGGGGGGTGGATTGTGACTGGGTGGGCGTGACCATTTTATTTTTATTTTTACTTTTAAAACCATTTTTTTCTACAACCTTTTCGGCGAAGAGGTTGTAAAAAAAAATGCTTTCAAAAGGCTCTGACGATCCCAGCTGAGTTGCCTGCAACTCAGCTGGGATCGTCAGAGGCATTTAAAAGAAAAAAAGGATTTTTTTTCTTTTAAAAGCCTTTGACGATCCCAGCTGAGCCTCATGATCATCAGAGGCTTTTTTTTTAACTTTTAAAAGCATTTTTTCGGCTGATTTTTTCCTTTCTTACCTAAAGGAAATCAGGAAAGACTGTCCTTCGAAGGACAGATACTGAAGCTGAAGTTTAAATAGTTTGGCCATCAAATGAGAAGAGAGAACTCCTTGGGAGAGACTCTGATGTTAGGAAAGAAGAAAGGAGAGGCAGAGGGTGAGATGGTTAGATGGTGTCACCTAAGCAATGAACATAAATTAGGACAAACTTCGGGAGATAGTGGAGGACAGGGGGGCCATGGGGTCATTGAAGCTTAAAGGTAAAGATAAAGGTTCCCCTCGCACACATGTGCTAGTTGTTCCTGACTCTAGGGGGCAGTGCTCATCTCCATTTCAAATCCGAAGAGCCAGCACTGTCCGAAGACGTCTCCGTGGTCATGTGGCCGGCATGACTCAACGCCAAAGGCGCACAGAACGCTCTTACCTTCCCACTAAAGGTGGTCCCTATTTTTCTACTTGCATTTTTTTTTTACGTGCTTTCGAACTGCTAGGTTGGCAGAAGCTGGGACAAGTAACGGGAGCTCACCCCATTACGCGGTTCGAACCGCTGATTCGAACCGCTGAATTGCCGACCTTTCGATTGACAAGCTCAGCATCTTAGCCACTGAGCCACCTTGTCCCTTTTCATTGAGGCTTAGGCATGATTTAATGACTGAACAACATGCACAAAATGCTATTTCAATTGGCGAAGATGTATTTAGTCTGTTGTATGAATACACGGATTGTAACGGCAGAGAAGTTCCTTATTCACAAGCCCCCATTCATAGATCGGGGACAACTCAATTAAAGTGAGACTTTTTTTTTTTTTTAAGAATGAATTAAACACTAACTGGATTTATACAATATACTAAGGCATAACATAAGTAGGATTGGTATAGCATTAATCTACTGTGCCACTTGTAGTAATATGCTGGGTTTAGTACTAATATGTTAATTAGTAAACTAACATATTGATACATTTATGAATGCACTTCCACAAGCTTGGGGAAGTCACATTCAAACATCTATTCTCTTTCATACTTTTGTAAAAAAATCAATGTGACTTTTTCCAACTTGGTCTCCTCCAGGTGTATTCAGTGTGATCTCATCAGAAAGGTTGTCTTGTAAGATTGGACAATATTATTCTGCAGGGTGCAGGACATGTTCCAATATTAGAGGACTCTGGACATTTTCTGAGTCTATTAATCCTTACCTTATTCTAAAAGGTAACATTGCATGAAAAACATTCCATATTCCAGATTAATGGAGTTTGGTCTAGTGGTTAAGGCACTAGACTAGACACCAGGAGACTGTGAGTTCTAGTCCTACCCTAAGCATGAAAGAATGATTTTGGGCCAATCTCCAGGTGGTTGAGAGTTCTAATCTTGTCTCAGCCTCGGCCATGAGAGCCGGTTGGGTGACTTTGGGCCAATGACTAGGAGACTGGGAGTTCTAGTCCCTCCTTAGGCAATGATAGCCAGCTGGGTGTGTTTGGGCCAGCACAGCCAGGGGGAAATAAAAGAAACATATGTGTTTATGGGTGTATATAATATAATGAAGGATGGAAATAAATAAAATGATGAATCCTCATGCAAGTCATGGTGAGGTTGCTGGCTTTGTACCAGTGGTGAAATCCATTTTTTTTTTTACTACCGGTTCTGTGGGCATGGCTTGGTGGGCGTGGCATGGGAAGGATACTGCAAAATCCCCATCCCTACCCCAGTCCAGGGGAAGGATACTGCAAAATCCCCATTCCTACCCCACTCCAGGGGAAGGATACTGCAAAATCCCCATTCCCTCCCCACTCCAGGAGGATACTGCAAAATCTCCATTCCCTCCCCACCCCAGGGGAAGGATACTGCAAAATCTCCATTCCCTCCCCACTCTGGGGGCCAGCTAGAGATAAGTATTTTCTGGTTCTCCCAACTACTCCAAATTCCCGCTACCGGTTCTCCAGAACCTGCCGGATTTCACCCCTGCTTTGTCCCCAGCCGCTCAAGCAACCCCCTGACTTTGAGGGAAAAGGGCCTCCTCCATTTCAGCCCTGTCCACCCTACAGGGTTGTTGTCGAAGGATAGGTTTGGAGGAGAGAGGGGACGGGGTGGAGGAGGAAAACTTGTGCTCTGTGTGTGTGTGTGTGTCTGTGTGTGTGTCTCTCTCTCTCCAAATCAAACCGGTTGGGCAGGGCGAACCCTAACCGGTTGCACCAAGGCAAGCTCCAGCTTCGAGGACAGGATAGAGGGGGGGTAGGTGGGTGAGAGAAAGTATTCGCAGAGGGAGAAGAGAGGTGGAGAGGATGGGTGGATGGATGGGAAGATGAACCTACTACCCACCCACTCCCACCCTCCCCCCGCCCCTCCCCCCAGGTCCGCTGTGTCGGCGCCCCGTGGGGTAATCCCCGCGCGCGCCCCCCCCCCCCCCCCCCCCCCCGCCGTTCACTCCCCCCCTCCCCTCCAAGCCTCCTCGCGCTCTCTCCCCGGCGCCCTGGGCTGAGCTTGAAACGGGCGAAGGGAAGGCTGGGCTGGGTTGCTCCGCGCCTCCTGCGCCGGGGAGCCCGAAGTGCCGGTCAGTGATGGACTGGCTGCCATGACAACCCCGGGAAGTCGGCGCGGGCGTGTCTGCGTGAGCCGGGCGGCCAGCGGGCCATTCCGGCACTGGGGAAAAAACCGAGCCGCTCAGCCCGGGGAGAGAGCCGAGCCGGCCGGTTGAAGCGCAAGGGAGGGAAACCCGCCAGCCAGCCAGTTAGCAGCCGCCGCCGCCGTTAAGCCCGATAGAAGTCCGCGGCGCGCTTCCAACCCAGCCCGGGGGAAGCAGCAGCTGGGCTCGCTCGGCCGGCGGCGGACAAGTTGCCCGGGCATCGAGGGGTTTTCTTCGCATTTGGGCACGTCGGGACCTTCGCCTCTCCGCGGGACTTTGCGGGAACTCTTGGCCGGCGGCGGGTTTGCGGAGCGCTCCAGCCTCCGGCTGGCCAAACCGAAGGGGATGCCTGAACTGTGCATTGCAAAACTGGGCTCGTGAAAACAGCTGAGCGGCGGGCTACCTTCAACCGCCGCTTCTTTCTTCCCAGCTGCTGCTTGTCTTGCCGGCTCGGCTCGCTTCTCCCACCGAGCAGCGTCGTCTCTGGAGGAGATTTCGAGGGGCTCCGCCGACGCCCCCCTCCCCCGGCCCCGGAAGATCTCCCCCGTCCCCCCGGCTTTTTTTTTTCCCCCCTTCCCCCCTTTTTTTGGGCTCCTGGCCCCCCTTTTGGGGTGCGCAATTTTTTTTTGCCCCCCCCCCCCCAGGTCTGGGGTGGATTGCGCGTAACTGCTCAACTACTTCCCCGCATCCCAGGATGGGGGTCGGTGGGGGCTTGGTTGTGCCCTGGCGGTGCCTGGTGGTCGTGTGTCTGAGGCTCCTCTTCCTTGTGCCCGCAGGAGTGCCGGTGCGCAGCGGAGATGCCACCTTCCCCAAGGCCATGGACAACGTGACGGTCAGGCAAGGAGAGAGCGCCACTCTCAGGTAGGAGCGGAGGCTTGCCCTGGGGTGGGGGGGGGAAGTTGGGGAAGGAGGGTGGGTGGGTGGGGAGGGGGGGGGGGGGGGGGGGGAGGAGGGGGAAGGGTAGTAGTATTGGAGGAGAAATGGGGGAGAACGGCGGCTTGGAGGGTTGTAGGTTTTGGGGACGGTGTGATATGTCTTAGGGAGCCAGTTTTGGGGATGGGGTGATATGTCTTGGGGAGCCAATTAAGATCCTTTTTTGGGGGAGGGGGTGGGTAGGGGGGGAAGAAAGCAAAAAAAAAAATAGTTGCAATCTGGTGACTCTTGGTGGAGTCGGGGATGATGGATCTGGTATTGCTCTCCCCTCTCCCTCTTGCAAGAGGCTGGGACTAGGGCATCTTTCTGCTTTACCTTCTTGGAGGTGTGGTTGAGGGATGGAGGAGTAGATTGTCTCCTCCTCCAAGCGGGGCTGATGTTTGCCCAGCAGCCAGACTATAAAGACGTAGCTAATAACTGGTCTCCGGAAGGGGCCGGTCGGATGGTTTGCTGGGATGGTTGGTTCCGAAAAGCACTGACCTTTTTCTGGAAGGTGGAGATGCGATTCAGGATGGGTTGTCCTCTCCTGGCTGCTCTTCGCAGGAGGAGGAAGCTGAAGGGGTGGTGGAAGCTGGGAAGGTTTGCTGTCTTTTGAGATGTGCCGAGTCCAAATCCGGCTGAGCCAGGGGTTCTTAAGACTTTTCTCCTGTTATGGGAATGATATTTTTCGGTTGTTCCACTCTTGAAACTTGGTGCTCAAAAGTCTGTTTCCCGATGAGTGGGTGGACTGCTTGCCCCTTGGAAAAGAGGCCTTAGGCCAGGGGTGTCCGGCCGTCGCAACTTTAAGACTTGTGGACTTCAACTCCCAGAATTCCCCTTGAAGTTGCCGAGGTTGGACACTCCTGCCGTAGGCACCGATGGTTCAGAGAGGCCCACGGCAACCGTCTGAGCCTTCGGAAAGCTGATGTCATGTTTCCACTCCAGCACTGTTAAGCAATGAAATCCGTAATTTGTTGATACAGCAAGAATTAATGAGCTTAATGTACAGCGCAGAATGATATACCACAAGGAGTTGCATAACCAGGCTACAGATGTAATACCAGCTTTGTGCCACTTTAATGCTTATGGACTTTCTCGGTGGAATTTTAGAGATGTCAGAATCTGATGATGAATTGGGAAAGCGCTATTTTATTATTTTATATTTTATATTTTATTTCCCCAGAATTATAAAGAAAGGTTCTTTAGAAAGAGGGAGAAATGCTTCGGTCAGGACAAGGCTGCGTTCCTAAATTATCTGACTATTTATGACTATCAGAAATAAACGATGTAGAATATGCTTGAAACTCATTACTGCTGAGTTAACATCATGTAGTTGATGTTAGCTGTCTGTAAAGGAACTATGCTCAAGTTAAGCCACGAAGCTTTTATTTTAATTAGACCAGTGGTCATGTAGATAGGAAAACGAAACAAAACCAAATCTTAGTGATAAAGGGTAAAAACACAGAGGGTACAAAATTGGGAGTTTTACGGGTTTTTTTTCTTCCTTCTATCCCTTGGAGCCTTAAGTAGAGCCTAGTAAAAGATGATGTCAAATACCATACAATGATGGATGATAATGATGATGATGATGAAGATGACAGCGTTTCCTATAAGGCAGTGTTTCCCAAACTTGACCCTTTGAAGATGTATGGACTTCAACTCCCAGAATTCCTCAACCAGACATACTATTCCTCAACCAGGCATACTGGCTGGGGAATTCTGGGAGTTGAAGTCCATGCATCTTAAAATAGCCAAGTTTGGGAAACACTGCTATAAGGATTTGGCATCTGTTAACATTTGGGCAGAAAACCTCTTCCTCCCATCCACACTCAGGACTGTAGGGCGCACAGAGGTCGGCGACCTGTGGCTCTGAAGCCGCATGTGGCTCTTTCATCCCTCTGCTGCGGCTCTCTGTTGCCAATCAGCTCCACAATTGATAGGGCTTTCAGTTAGGATGGGTAGAGGAAAAAGGACGTAGGAGGGGACACTATGGTTGCGGGAACCGGACTTCCGGTTGACTCTATAATTGAATGGGAGGATTCCAGTTAGGACCTTTGTGGCTCTTGGAGCATTTAAGGTTGCCGACCTCTGGGTTAGCACATCCCAAAACACAATCGAAAAAGAGAGAAGATCTTGAGTTGGGTATCTAACTTGCTATTTGATGATATTGCATATTGTTGTTGTTCCTTGTTGACCCCCTTATTGGTAATCCACTGTGATCCAAATGTTGGAGATCTAGGAAAAAGCATGACAAGTTCTTTTGTCTTATGGATAGGACAATATTTCAGAGAAAGACTGTATGCTTTACATATGTTGTATAAATCTTGGGTTCAGTTCCAGGCATCTTCAGCCAGTAGAACTATACAAAGGGAGAAAAAAATATGATCTCATTCTCTCCAAGACCCTGGTGGACCATTGCTAGTGATTGTGGCCAGTGATGGGCCTTGTAGACAGACTGTTGGACACAGTTGGGTTCACACAATGTGCTCAGCCATCTGGTTCTTGTAGTTTGGCCTTAAAGTGTTCCGCAAAGCCAGCTATTGTAGTTTATAGTAGCCTAACAGGTTTAAGACATGTTCTTAGTAAACACAGAACAAATCTAGTGGTTAAATAATACTAGGCACATTCTCTATAGAAATCGAATGTTTATTTTATTGGATTTCTTTATGTTTTGTGCAATAATTCAGTAGACGTTATGTATTTTACAATATTGGATTTCTTAAGCTTCAGAAGAGGCCCCCCCAAAATGGAGGCTCTCGTTGGTAAATTGAAAGATTCATGCGTTCATGCAGGCAAGAAGACACGTACAAACAAAATACTTATTGCTATTGTTATTATTATTATTATTGTTATTATTGCATTGTACCACTAGTGTCATTGTTGAAGAAATTGTTATTTTCTAGGGGAAAAAACGAAGAGCCCTGAAAAACAGGCAGGGAGCAAAATGAACATTCTGATAAATCCTTTTGTTGGGAAATATTTTAGGCCATTAGGAAAGGATAAAAAAGCTTTGCATAATTATGTAACTGAACATGAGCCGCAAAACTTGCTTCCGGGTCAACAATTAATTGTGAATAGTTGTTAGGTTTGGCGTTCCTTTCAAAAATATTTAATCTAACCTGACCTGACTTGGCTTGTGGGGTGCAAGAGTTTTGCTGTAATCCTCCATGTTTCCTCTGAGTAGATCAGGGCAGCAGCATTAGATTTTCCATCCATATTCATAGTGGAAATGAGGATGCACAACAGCACATACTATTCTGGGTTTCCAAACCTGGTTACAGACCAGTGTTGTAGTTACCCGTTGCTTTTTGAGTTAACCTGCACAAAAAGCTGTAACACAAAAAGGGGGAAAAAAAAAACACTAGCAATTCTTCTGGGGTTTTGGATTAGTTTCCTCCAGTCAGCTGTTCCTGCAAATTTCCTTTCCTGCACTGACATATTCCCTCTCTCCTTGTCCAACCAGTGCAATGCTTGTTAGCAGATCTGTATTCATGTTCCTTCCCAGGGTTCAGTCTCTGGCTCACCATTCCAATGAAATATTCATCTCGTCTTGATGTTTGTAAAGTTCAGAGTCTGAACTTTTTTCTTCCTATGAAATTATTTATTTCAGAACTCTGGACTATAAAAGTATAATGCTGACCTGTTTTTCCTCCTTCTCCTTCTCCTTCTCCTCCATCTACTCCTCCCCCTCCCCTTTTCCTCCTCCCCTCTCCTTCTCCTCCTTCATCTCTTGCTCCTTCATTATCTCCTCCTCTTCCTCCTCCTCCTTCTTATTTTCCTCCTCCTTCTCTCCCCTCCTCCTCCTCTTCTCCTCCTCCTCCTCCATCTCCTCCTCCTCCATCTCCTCCTCCTTCTCCTTCTAATTTTCCTCCTCCTTCTCTCCCCTCTTCCTCCTCTCCTCCTCCATCTCCATCTCCTCCTCCTTCTCCTTCTTATTTTCCTCCTCCTTCTCTCCCCTCTTCCTCCTCTCCTCCTCCTCCTCCTCCATCTGCTCCTCCTCCATCTCCTCCTCCTCCATCTCCTCCTCCTTCTCTTTCTTATTTTCCTCCTCCTTCTCTCCCCTCTTCCTCCTCTCCTCCTCCTCCTCCTCCATCTCCTCCTCCTCCATCTCCTCCTCCTTCTCCTTCTAATTTTCCTCCTCCTTCTCTCCCCTCTTCCTCCTCTCCTCCTCCTCCTCCTCCATCTCCTCCTCCTTCTCTTTCTTATTTTCCTCCTCCTTCTCTCCCGTCCTCCTCCTCTTCTCCTCCTCCTCCTCCATCTCCTCCTCCTCCTCCTCCTTCTAATTTTCCTCCTCCTGGTCCTTCATCTCTTGCTCCTTCCTTGGCCGAAGAGGTGGTAAAAAAAATGCTTTGAAAAGTCTCTGACAATCCCAGCTGAGTTGCCTGATCGGCAGAGGCTTTTCAAAGCATTAGAAAAAATGCTTCGAAAAGTTAAAAAAAAAAAGTTGGCCACGCCCACCCAGTCACATTACCCCCCAAGCCACACCCACAGAACCGGTAGTAACAAATTTTACATTTCACCCCTGCTTCATTTGGTTTCCTTTTGACCGGGAATGGCAACCAACCTCTTGTAACTTATAGGTAGTTCTCAACTTACAACAGTTCATTTAGTGACCTTTCAAAGTTACAACAGCATTGAAAAAAAGTGACTTGTGACTGTTTTTCACAGTTACAACCTTGGCAGCCTCCCCATGATCACGTGATCAAAATTCAGATGCTTGGCAAGTGGTTCGTACTTATGACCGTGGTCATGTGATCCCCCTTTTACAACCTTCCGACCAGCAATGTCAACGGAGAACCCAGATTTGCTTTACAACTGTGTCACAACTGCAGTGATTCACTTAACATCGGTGGCAAAAAAGGTGATCGAAAGGAGTAAAACTCACTTAACGAACGTTCTCACTTAATGACAGAAATTTCAGGCTCTATTGTGGTCGTACTACGTTGAGT